GCTAAATAATGGGCCTAGTGGAACGGCCTAGTTCCAAGCTGAGTTAGGTCCTACCTGCTAGCACCCCCCCCCCCAGCATCCCACCACCTTCCGCCAGACTAGGTTCCTAGGCCTGACACAACAGTCACGCTTCGCATGCCATTGACTGAAATTTTGAACAAAATTAAAAACATAAATTAAAATGGGACAGTGAGTAAAAAAAATATTAAATATAATAAATTAAATGTATCACTCAGGCATTAATGAACTTGGCCTAAGCCTTATAATGTAATTAATATTAATTAATAATAACAATAATATTAATGACAATAATATTAACAATAATAATAATATTTATAAATAAACATATATAATTTTGCCATTAATTAACATAGCCTAAGCCTTGTAATCAAGAAGCACCTACAGTATACTATATTAGGCCTATAATCCAAACTCATTGCCTTAACTTTTAGTAATTCTAGGCGGAAGCAGGTCAACACGGCCCCATGTCAACCAACCCCAAGTCAACTTGACCCCAATTTTATATTGTTATTAGTTATTCTATATACCTTTGTATAATTTTTATTAATATCATTTTAATATTACTTTTATTAATGCAGTTTTAATTATTGTAAGTGCATGTAAATGAACCGAAATAACAAAGGCAACGATTTAAAAACACTTTAATTTTGGCTTTGCATTCAAATCTCTTGGTAAATATTCAATAAATACCGTACACAGTAAATTGGGGCCGAGTTGACTGGAATTCGTCATGACATAGGTTAAACAATTATCCAAACCGCGGCCAACTAAAAAATTAAAATTTTCACAGTATGTAACTCAAATTCAAATAGGGCCTAACACTTTTTATTATTCGTGCAGCGAAATCAAATAATACATATGCCGTTTTAAACGACTCATTATATTAGAATGGCAATGTGTTTTTTTTCAAAATCAGACAGCGAGCAGCAATCCTGTATCTCAGAAGTTTTGTAGACGTTTATCTTTGGTTGATGACTTTTTGACCTCCAGAATTGCGATTTTCGAGTCGAGTCAGTCGAGACAACCCGAGTGGAGTTTCATGCAAATGTTTCGTACGGAAAAAAAAATCGCGCGCGGTGCATTACTGGGTAATAAAACATATACAAGCGTTAGTTGGCGTCCTACACTAGCTGCGTAGAGCGTATCGTTTTTTTACGCTCCCAATGAGCGTTGTTGGCTCTCTTGTTCTATTTATACTCTTTGCAACTACCCTATTAAATTCGGCTTAAATGTCTCCTCTCTCTAAAATTAACTTATTCGCTGGTGGCGCTATCCATAATGAGAAAAAAAAAACAAAGATGTCAGGAGTTTTGGTTTTGTTTAGACCAGCAACATGACTCGTTTGTAAAATTGTCAGCCCTATCTTCGAAATGGAGGACAGTTTGCCTAGGCCTGTCTACCTCTTGTGCTTAACCACTGCCGGTGGAGTTCCGCTCTTCACAAGGACGAAAGGAGTAGAGAAACAAGTAAGTATGCTAGGCCTTGGCCTAGGCTAGGCTAGGCTAGACTAGGCTAGGCCTATTGCCAAACGGTCATGTAGGCCTAAGTTAAGGCCTAAGCTAGCCTAGTTTTACATGAAATAATTATATACGAGGCCCCTAGGGAGTTTTCGCAAGCTATACGAAAACAGTAATTTCCAGATAACCCTTCCCCTTCAGTAGCATATCATCAGGCGAGGATCATCATAAATATTTAGCTCGTCAACCAGTACAACATATTGTCAAGATGTTTTAGACACGAATGATGATAATCATAATGATAATGACGTATTCGTTATGTTTTTCAAAATCTCCTAAGGGCAAATAAGGTGTTGGTTCGGTTCGTACGATGGGTGTGATTAGTTGGATTGGTTGTTGCTGGGAAAAAAGCTAGACTGGCCTAGCTCGAAGTAAAGACCAAGAGTATGCCTACTAACTATAATTTGGGTGTTCCCTTCCCTGATGCTCGAGTAATGTCTGATTTCTTCACCGGAATGTGTTTTGGATTGGCCATTATTAAATTGCAGGGCAATTGTTTAAATACATTTGCCACTTTGAAAAATGGTGTCATTTTTGTTCTGTTTATACACACTGGAATCCCCAGGTATAAACCCATCCCCATCCACTCTCCCCCTCCCCCACCCCCACCCCAAGAAAAAACATCTCCTACCCTCATCAATTTGAAATTTAAAAAAAAGACATAGGCTAGGTTAAGGTCTAAATTTAAGCGCAAATTTAGCACTTATTTTTGAAATGCATTGACATATTTATTATAGGCGTAAATTTTGTGCGGGGGATTCTTCACGAGGCCCTATTTTACAGTGGCACTGGTATATGTAATTGTCTGTACAATAGTTGTCATAACAATAAAAAAATCATCAATTAAAATCACTTTAATCAGTTTTTAAAAATAAATGATGAAGAAAAACCTTGTAGTTCAGAGGTTTTAATGTCAGTGAGAGAAAATTTAAGTAAAATCTGCTAATTAAATTTTTATCCAACTTTAGTTAGCCTTTGCAGAGATAGGCATGTTGTATGGAGTGCAGATGTTTGCGCAGAACCATGATGTTGAGCTGCAAAGTACGACGACAGAGAATTCTCGTATACTGTGGAAAGTGTTCTGTGACAGGTAAACACAGGGCTAAAATTTAAGTTAGCAATTCATTTCCAAATACTGTAGAAAAATAATAATGTACTACTGTAACATTGCACAAATCTGTTATATATACATTACATTACATCCCTGCCCTTTACAGTACATATTATTGCTAAGGTCCCACAAAATATCAAGCAAATAAACGTATGTAAACAAATGCATTTGTGGGACGACAACATGTGCACTTGTAGAACAAGTGTGTAATCCAGGCCCTGTTCTGATTGGTCACTTGTTTTGATTTATTGACGCTCCAGAAAGGTCTGTTTATTTTTTTATGAGCCTAACTATTTGGCTAATTGGTATGGTTCCTGCCTCTTGCACGCCAGGGCCTGGGTTCGATACCCGACTCTGTGTCCAGTACAGTGGCGTATCCAAGCGTATCCCCCCCCCAATTCGAAAACTTTGAAGCAAAAAAAATTAGGCTAGGCTTATGCTGTCACGGTTAACGTGTATTCGGGAATCTAAGAAGCAATATTTTTCAGTGGGCGTGGCACCGAAAATAAATTCCACACCCCTCATATTTTGGTCCCCCCCCCCCCACATTTTAATACTGCTAGATACGCCACTGGTCCAGTATTGAATTCGGGTCTTTCATAATAACAAAAAACGCTCAGCTCCTCGAATAACCCTCTCAGGAGAGTTAGGCGAGTTAGATGTTTGATGTTTATTTAAGGCATTAATTTATTAATTAGCCCCGGACCTGCTTACAGGCATTGCCTTTTTGGTTTTGGTATTGTACCTTAGGTGGTGGAATGATTTATTTATTTTTTATTTATTTATATCTATTTACTTATTTTTATTTATTTATTCATTCATTTTTATTGGTTTTTATTTATTTTTATTTATTTATTTATTTATTCAAATATAGTTTAAGTGGGTAGCCCTTTCAGCAAAATATTACAATATTGTAACATTCATATCAATGGAATAAGAAGCATCAAGAAAAATTATTATAATTAAATTGCTCAATCATAGTAAAAGAGAAAGGTTTTTTAATATTATTTTTTTGCAGCATTACCTTAATCTTAGTTGTAAATGATGATGACGATGAGGATCTCCATCATTTAAATCTTCTAAACCAAGTTTTCAATGCAATGGTAAGGCTGGTATAATTTATTATTATTTTTAATGTTTACATTTCCAATGAGCAGACTCTTTCCTATGTTCAAGTGCACTGGAGATGAGTTAGTTTCCAGGATATGTATGCTTGCTTGCGAGAGTTCAGGAGGCCTTTCATAGAACTTCCGCTACTTACGGTGGCAATAGCCCAACACACAGACAAACATAGCCTAAGATTTTTTCCTAAAGTAAAATAGTTATTTGCAATGAATTGTCTCAAGAATGTAAAATATTTCTTATCACACATATTTAAAAATGTTTATTCATATTTTTTTTAATTTGTAATGAACAGGTGTTTTTTGTTGGATTGGATAGTTTGGAAAACATAAAAAATGTAGAGCGTCTTCGGAAAGACTTAAAGGTAGGTTGATGGTTGTACGTTGTATTCAGATTCCAATGTGACATAGGTTGTGAAATGTGCTTCAGAATTTCAATACATGTTCATATGAAACCAATCAAGTACAGTATAGCATAAACAAAGCTTCATACATTTGTTTCTTCTTTCAGTGTTGTTACCCTGTTGTTGATTCACTTCTTGGCAATTCAGATTTCCTTGGTTCTATCACAAATTCTGTTGATGTTAGCATCTTTCCAGATTACCAAACACTTCAGGTACATTTGTTGACCTTTCACAAAAGGCAATTCGTATCTTAAACTGTGCATGCTCATATCAAAGTCAATCAACGTAAACAAACATACACACAGCATAGGTTTATGTTGATTGGGGTGGGGGTAGTGGCTAAGGAGGGGTAGTATTGTTGAGAATAGCATATGCATATTTTAAGTTTTACACAAAGTAATACTGCATGTTTGAAATATTCATTATGTCCATAAGAATAATAATAAAAATAAACATTAATTATGATAATACAATTTTTTAGGATTTGTAATTTATACCTGCTCTCACTATCCAAAGAAAGTGTCATAGCGATGGAAAAAAACTGGCACATAATTAGCCTGGATTGAACAGTTTCCTCTAGCATGTCACTGAGATTTTGTAGTAACAAGAAACAACTGTATACTGATTTTAAAAAAACTAACAAATTTATTCTTTTACTTGGCCTTAATTTTAGCATAATGCACCATTCTATCTACTTGTTTAAAGGTTATGTTTGACAACTTGATATAGTATAAGAGTTAATTAATATCACAGCTTTTTACAAAGAATTTTCTCCTCCCTTATCTAGGATCCTTTAGAAATGTTTGTGAATTCAGCAGGCAGCACACACGGTTGTATCCACTCAAATGGATATCTTGTGTGTGCAACCAACAAATGGTGGACCCTCACTGGATCCGAGTTAAACCTTCTGGCGATATTCATAAGAACTCTACCAGAAAACACAGCGTCGGATGTGCCTGTGTACCTCCCAGATGCAAGTCCTAAGGTATGGATACAGTGTAACACAATGGTCAAGTGTCGGGCTTATAATTGAAAGATCTGGTTTTGAATCTGAAGCTGAGCAGTTGGTTGTGTCGTGGGGCAAGGTACTTTTCCGTTTCGTTTCCCTCCATCAATGAGTTTGGGTTTAAATGCTAAAGGCACTGGCTACTAATAATAATATGTTAGACCTTAATAGCGCTCAATGCTAACAAGGCCTTTAAGCGCTTCACATTATTACCCCAGTTATTGGATCAAACACATATGGAACACATACTCAGCCCCATGGTTAGAATTCCATAATATTACAGCTGTAATCAGTGCACTTTTTGTTCAAACCTACTAAGTACCCACTTGTACTCTGGGTGGAGAGAGACAATCGTAGGTAAAGTGCCTTTCCCAAGACACAAGCCAAATGCACAACGAGGGATTGAACCTCCGACCTCAAGGTTGAGAAGCGGAACTGTAACTGCTGTGCCAAACCACCCCTGCTACATTATGCTACATTACTGCTACATTATGGAATACTGTTAATTAATTTGCTACTTAAAAGTAAAACAAATATAGTATTTGAATTCAGGTTCTTATAGGCATAGGTATAATGTATATTAAAATGAATGGCTATAGGCACATCAGTGTGTAAGTGGCATATCTAGATTGGAAAACAAACAAGACCACATTCTTTGCCTTTTTTTCGAACCACAAAATTTCTGCCTTTGTACTCAATCTTGTAGGTAACTTCTAGCAGCAGTTTGATAGCAAAAATTTGTTCAAGCTTTTGAATAAATATATATACAGTCAAACTCGCCTAAGTTAAAAAATTGTCAAAGTCGAAATTATTTTCATGTCACTTCATCTTCCCTATATTTACAATGGTTAATATATGCTTTAATTCGAAAGTGGCGGTTTTCATCGCTGTTGGTTTTATACTGAATAAAATAAAATAAAATAAAATAAAATGTAAGTCGAATAAAACGGAAGTTGAACATATTTTACATGCCAAATTGATCTGTTTTCCATTAAATGTTAGTCTGTAAAGTTGAAGTCAAAATCTTGATGTAAAACTTCAATCATTTTAAGCTGTCGTCGCTTTACCAACATCGCTGTGAACGTCAACAAGTGACTCGCACATTTGGCAATGCAAAGATTCACACGCTAAGTAAGCCCGACAAGTTTTATGTGCATTACCTGTGTGTAAGTAAGCCCGACAAGTGACTCGTGTTTACATTACATAGCGCTACTTTGGGTAGTTTACATACGACTCAACTCACATTCCTCACTATTGTTCAGATGTGGTAAAGTCAACAAGCTACTAATGTTTAAGCACGGTTTCAGGTTTTGTTAGTTCTTTTTTAAATACAGCTTTCAAGGTAAGTTTAGGTAGCCTAGGCCTTTACTTCTACAGTACTAGGCCAAATGTGCGATCAACATCGTGCGTGTACCGTTAGTGCGTGTTAATTTGTTCCGGTTTCCGTGAGGCCTAACTCTCCAAGTCAAGTTGCTATTGTGATATAACTCGAATAAAATTTGACTTTGCTTTAGTCGAATTTAATCTAAGTCGAACTGTATTTCAGTGCCACTTTAGATTCGACTTAGCCGAGTTTGACTGTAGTTAGTGATGATATGGAGATTGGGTGTAAATTTTGTGTCTGACTACAATGTTGGTCAATTACCACAATTTTGTATTAATTACCATAAAGTTTGCATATAACTCTATACCCCTTCCCCAAATGTGAGGCAAAATAAGGGTTTCATGTGCATTACTTGTGTGTAAGCCTATCCATGTATCCAAGCTCAAAATTGATTGAATATTTTATGGTAGAATAGATTTTTTTTAACACGTATATTCTCTCCCCCTTCTGGTAGATTCCACATCGGTTGCTAAGCATTCACCTTTTAAGTGGAATAGTAGTGAGCGTAATGTGTGGACCTACACCCTCATTGGAGGCCGTCAAGTCTCAGTTGGTGGAGGCATGCTGGCTACCTCACGTAGAAGTATTGAGGGCTTGTTTAAATATGGGATCGAGGAATGTACCGGCCAGTGTTGAGGTTGACCAAGGGGTTATAGGGTAAGTCCATTACTGTTGGTGAAGAATCAATAATATAAAAACATAAAAATGCAAAAATTGAAAGAACAAAAAAATAAATAAATTTTTTTTCCTTTCGAAAGTAAAATGAGTTTTTTAAATTGAAAATGGGACTCTTTGATGAACCAATGGGTTAACAGGTTAATACCATTTTTAGTGGTGGAAGCATTTGTGATTGATTTGCTAATCTTGTTGAAGAGTATAAGGGTAAGATTATTGTTGATGGTGGCTAAGCATTTGTGGGTGGGTGGGGAGGTATACATTCACATAACTAATAGTGATTTGATGAAAAAATAATGATAATAATTGTCTTTTTATATAGATTATTATTTATCAACTATGTTCAAAGGAAGTGCTTAGCAACCGTCCAGTTACCAAAGCCACCTGGGATTTCTGAAAACCGTTTGCCAAGTTACGAGCGACGTCTGGAACTGTTATCCTGTTTCTATAGAAACACAGTGGGTGCAATATTTCCACCAATAAAACAAGATGAAACAGGTATGACATTATTAATATTAGTATTATTCTTTTTGTTGTTGTTATCATTGACATCATCCTTGTTGTTGTTGTCACACTGCTGTTATTATCATTTTTGATATTTAAAATGCCAAAATAAAGTATTAATGTCTTAGTCATGCATATGATCCTTGCTATATAGGTCAACTTATTATTGTGAAGTTCAAAATAGAGCACTCACTTTGAAGATTTTGTTCATAAAATACTCATCAAAATTCTTGCTAAATTTAGTAAATACTTGATTTGTCAAAACTGCATGTTTAATCATTGTACCTACAAACAAGACAATTATCTTTCATCATAATATAGTATCAGTTTGGTATCAGTTGTGTATCCAGTCTTTTATTCATAAAATATTGTTTTGTATGCCAAATTTTTAGCAAGACAATATATTACAATCTCCTGTATCCAAGTCAGTAATTGTAAGTTTAATCATTTTACCTGGAAACAAGATAAACATCTTCAATCATAGAGTACTACAGTGTTACGTCACGATACCGTGCGATACTACTCCGTTGCAAAAAGCTTCAACCAGGCGCCATTTTCTTCACTGACAAATCATTGATCCCAATTTCTAACGTAATTATTAAGATGTTGTATCTTTTCTTTGTAAATTTTAATTGATGATTAAATGTGTGTTCGATAACTAATATAATGCGAGCTTTTGTGTTTTTAGTACATTTTGATGGTAAAATATTAGATTTTAAAATGCCTATTCCAGAAAGACTATGAAGTCATTTAGGCCTAATGAACAGTAACTAACGTCCGTTGACAACAGAGAGTGACACCTGGCGTCGTGACGACACGACTGTGGTACTCTGTAATATTGTATCAGTTTTGAATCCAATCTTTAATTCATAAAATATATTGTTTTGTATGCTAAATTTTTATTGCATTTTCACAAAAACAATTACATTCTCTTAATTTTTTTTTTTACTTCAATTGATGACAGAAATAGACTCGCCATTCACCCACACGCCTAAGGAGACTTACATGTGCGGCCTGGAATACAAGGCATATGCCATCGACGCTAAGCCCTGTCAGCTATTCGTTTTATATGCATCAAGCGTACCACAGTATGCACTTAGGTATGTTTCAAAACTGTTTATTTTTTTCCCCTTCTTTATACCGTACTGAGTATCCTGTTCTCATAAGGAGGCTTAGGGAGTGGAGTTGTTTTTGTTGTGTGAAAAAAAAAATCCTGCTTCCACAGGAACTGATCCCAGGGCCCTGGGATTGGAAGGCAAGCATCTGAACCACCAAGCTATTAAACTCCAATCTATTTAAATGCATATATCTCCCAAACTAAACTGTTTAGACTATTTAGACTGTATTTTTACTTTCACAACACTAATAAAAGTTCTGTATTCTGTATTTATCCAGAAAACATCAAGTCTTATTGTAATTATAATTTAAATATTGGCATAACAAACACTTTTTAGGAATGACTTTTTACATTTTTTTTTTTATGGTTGGGGAAAATGGGTGAAGGGGATGGGTGAGATTTCATAATATTTATTTTTATAAAATGTGCATATTAATGCCTTATAATATATTTGAATTAACCCCATTCCCATGACATGAACAATATTTATTTCTTCTATTCTAAAGGTCACTGAGTCAAAAGCTGTTCAGCAGTTTGAAAAAGGAAAAAATGTTTAGTACAGACAAGAAAGGAAGTTGAAGGGTTAAAATACAGAGTGAACCCTCTCAAGAAGAATAAGATTAGGATGATGATTGTCTAACATCTCTGAACAACACTGAGGTCAAGTGCTGTGTATCGCATCAGGACATCTCCCTCAAGAGTCGTAGTATACCAGCCATCGAAGGTCACGATAAAGATCTGTTGAAAAATCTTAAAAGAAGACTGAAAGATGAATGGCAGTTGAAATTTAAATTGGTTTTAAAACCTTGGAAGTCTTTGTTGAAAATAGAATAGATGAAATAGAAGATATATATTATGAGGCATGTTGTGGCAAAATGGTTAAGTTGTAGCAAAAATTGAAATTCAAGTTATTGGTATTTTCAGATACCTGAGTATGTGATCTTTAAAATGAGGGGTCATTCATTGAAATTGCACATTTCAAACATAAGTTATTGGAAAGTGAAAGTACAGTACACTTTAGAATCAAGATAAACACGATTTTGAGTAATTGCTTTTCGAAGTTATTTGTGCATACATTGTTTAATAGAATGAACTATCGAAGTAACATTAAATAAACAATTTGTTGACCACTTCCAGAACTAATACTTTGGTACACGATTAATAAGAAATTAAACTGTTGATCTATAGTCAAAAACAAATTTGGATTTTTAGGCAATTTTTTGAGCTCCCATATTCTATAGCTCATTTACTCAATACTGGCCTGTGTGACAACTTAACCATTTCGCCACGACATATCTCATATGCAAAGAGAGCTGATATTTGCATGTGGAAAATGTTGCCATGGACAGCTCTCTGAAACTAATCTTTGACATTTAAATACTTCAGTTATTAAATAGAGAAAATATTTTTTACATACCATATCAAAAGCAGTATCTTCTTCTATTATCTTTGAATCAACACAATATTGTTTGGGTGCCTACCTGACCTCCTGGTCTCTTTCCACTACTTCTATCGGTTTAAACCTATTCTTATATTTATGTATATTTTATAAACACTACCTACCTGTACTGTATATTTTTTGGATTAAAAGATTGATTGTCAACTGATATCCATGATTTTGTTCTGCCATATAATTTGACTATTAAAAGAATTTAAGTACATACATGAATAAACAACAACAGTATGCACTAACTATGGGTTGAATGTAGAAAAGGCATCCTACAGCATGAAAATTATAAGAGAGACAGGGGGTGTAGGCTGGTTTCATTCTGGGGTGGGGTGTGCCTAACTGGGGGAGCAAAAATTGAGAAAGTGAAACAGAATTTCTATTCCAATGAAAAAAACTTAATGGTCATTTTTAGTATATTAATTCAGTAGAAAATCTTTTTTCTGCCATGTGGGGGGGGGGGGGGGTAGGTCTGTTTCACCCCACCTCTCACTATCTATGCCCATGGGAAAAAACAAAAGGGTTAAGAGGAAAAGGACTGTAGTTTAATGGAATGTTTTGGAATGAGTTGTCTAATGCTGTGGGAGAGATGCGAGGGCCATCACAAGAGACAATAAAAATTAAAATTTTAAAGATAAAGATCTACAAACATCTTGGACCTTAGCAGCTTAGCTCAGTCGGCTAAATGTTGGTAGCCATTGTAGGTACCACAGAAATCTTTAAATAACTTTGGTGCAATTCCATCTGCTGCTCTCCTGCGAGTAACATGAGGCTTGCTTTCCCCAAACCAGGATACTGTTGTTAAATGTTAAACTGAGTAACATAAGAATGTGACAGTATTTGTACACATTAGTACAGAGAAGCTGTAACACTTTTAATGCTTGGAGAATATGAATATATGAGGCATGTTGTGGCAAAATGGTTAAGTTGTAGCAAAAATTGAAATTCAATTCAATTATTGGTATTTTCAGATACCTGAGTATGTGATCTTTAAAATGAGGGGTCATTCATTGAAATTGGACATTTCAAGCCTAAGTTAGTGGAAAGTGAAAGTACAGTACTCTTAGAATCAAGATATACATGATTTTGAGTAATTGCCTTTCAAAGTTATTTGTGCATACATTGTTTAATAGAATGAACTATCAAAATAACATTAAATAAACAATTTGTTGACCACTTCCAGAACTAATACTTTGGTACACGATTAATAAGACATTAAACTGTTGATCTATAGGACTGTAGTTTAATGGAATGTTTTGGAATGAGTTGTCTAATGCTGTGGGAGAAACTGTTGATCTATAGTCAAAAACAAATTTGGATTTTTAGGCAAATTTTGAGCTCCCATATTTTATAGCTCATTTACTCAATACTGGCCTATGCGACAACTTCACCATTTCGCCAGGACATGCCTCATATTTAAAAGTCAGTCTTTTTGTTTTGGTCACTGATGTTGGTTTCGCATGTCGTCTCCTATAGCAAGAACGCAGCACACTCTTCGGAAAAGAATATGGATTATCTCCCGGTATCATCCCAAATTACCACTGGAAGGACCACACTTAAAATATATCTTTGGACATTCATGGGTTATCTTTGGTTCATTTCACACATTTCAAAAACAATGTTAGACAAAATAAAAGTACGCACAACTGATTCGTCATTTTCATTCATTTATTTTGTTGGCTGGTATTGGGACTTCCATCCATGGGTCAGGACTTTCATCAACAGATCAGAAGTCGCAAACCATTAGTAGGCTAAATTAACACTTGCGATTTCTACAAGCATTTTGCATTGTCATTATTTATTTACTGTACAGATTAAAACTTCTCACTAAGTAAGTACTTATTGATCCATACTTATACAAATTAATACATTACCATACATATGATGATAATGTTCTTTTACCTTATTCTTCGTTAACATCAATAATAAAACTGTTATACTTTAGATACATACAACATTAATAATAAACTAAATTAACTCCACAATATTATGTACAAATTAAATAATCTAGTCAGATTTAGACAGACACCACACAACCCACTTCTTGGCATTTCTTTATGGCAGACGAAAAAAAAGCAAGGTATCCGCCCTGTATGATAATGTTTTTAAAAGAACATAATAGCAAGAATTTTCTTATCTAAAAATTGAACGGCAGCTAGGAATGTTTTAGCTTTGAATAAAAATTAAAAATCACGACAAAACATTACAGCAAATATAAATTATAAATAATTACATACAGTTGCATTTACATATTTATATATAAATTTATTTTGCATATTTATAAGACCATACACAAAATATATTCATATAAGTGTATTTTATTATTACATTGACACCTTTAATGGTAACGTTAAAGGTACATAGACGTGAGTGAATGTTGCATACTTATAAAGAATTTTGAAATTTATTTTACATACTGGTATTTATAACAGGAAAGTTGGTACTGTACTGGACTTACAATAATGTTAACAAGATGTCATAAATTTCTTTTCTAGAATCCAGTTTAATACATTTTTAGAAGCATAGATCAAGGATTGCTGATGGCAAATATAACATTTTTGTTTGTATATATGGCTTTACACATATAACATGTTGGGAAGTAAATTGGTCACAAAATAATACTTTACTGCTTTCTTGAGGTTTTCTTCCCTCAGAGCCATTATATATGTAAGGTCTCGCCACAAAATGAGTCTCATGGTTAGAAATTCAAAAATTGAGTTTATATTATATTTTGGTAGATCACATTATAAGCTTTCATTTGGTCTTTGAATGGCTTCCCT